TGCAACTTTGTGATTTGGAAATCTATTATGAAAAAGAAATAATGATTTCTTTCCTAAAGTCATATGCAAGTCGATTTTTCAGAAGGGTATTTAGGATAATATATTTGTATGCAGGGAGGTTTTTGACACAAAAGCATTATCGTGGAGATATTTCTAATAAACTTTTACAAAGCAATAGCATTTTTCTTCAGAATTTTAGAAGGAATTTATCAGTTGTAAACAAAAAAATTATTAATCATCGTTGATTTCTGAATTAATGCAATATGAATTTAATTTAAATATTGCCGATTTTAAGCTTCAGTCAGCCGTTTCCTGTCCATCTGTTAATATTTCTCTATGAAGATAGAATGATAAAGAAATTAAACAAAATGCTTTAAGGTAATGTTAAGAAAAATACAGAATTAAATTGTGAAAAAGAATGGAAAAAAAAAAAAAACATAAAAAATAGTGGTTATGACAGATAATTTGCAAATCGAATAACAGAGTTCCCCAATAAAATAAATCAAAAGTAATTAAATAGGCAACTATGGGTAGTAGAATATATCCAAAATAAGAATATATTTCTTATATACGAGAATTCAAGTCAAGAAAGGTGGAAAAATAGCATTATTTTGGATAAACTTTTTCATCAAGAGAAAGGAGGTTAATCAAACGATTCCAGAACCGAAACTGTAATGCTGCTTTGAAACCTGAACGATTTTCTTTAATTTAATTATGAATTCATGCAAAAAGGGAAAGTTAGGTTGGTAAATTGGCAGGTATAATCTATGCTTATTAATAAGAATTAAAATAAAATTCTAATTTAAAATTTTGAGAAATTATTTGATAGAACAATTTTGATATATGAAGTTCGGCAAGCAAATTTAGCAGTTAATTAACTCTATCACTTTCGCATTCATTCATATTCTGGTCGCAAAGTGTTTCATTCATGTTTCCACTAGTAAAAATAAATAACAAAAAGACCACCGACGGCAAAATGAAGAGAGGTGTTACGGATGTACATCTTTTTCTCCAGCGTTATTTTCCATAGCGAATCATTCATCCGCACAACTCCTCAGAAAGTCGGTAGTCTCCATTGCCCCCCTATTTGACCGGGAACTTCCGGAGGGGGACCTTTCTTTCACTGATAAACAGGTTTGCGCTCCCATGACTTTGCGCTGCTCTCACGGTTCTTTCCCCTTCATGATCGGACTCGTTAGGTGGGAGATGGGTTGTAACACCGGTGCATGATTCGTCGTTTGGCGGCGAATACAGCAGTAATAAAATATATTTTACGGAATAGGCGTAGTATTCACGAATTCAGTAAGCAGTGTTTTCAAATTCAGAACTTAGGTATGAACATCGCTGGATATTCAATTTCAGTGGTTAAATACTTTCAATGTGAGGAAAATTTAATCGTATTCTACAAACTAGAAAATATTTTTCATTATTAAATTAAATCTATATATAGCTAAACCAGCAATATACACAATTTAGCACCATATCTATTTAAATCCTAGAGCAATTTAAATTTTAAAACATAGAGATTTTTGTGGTAGTAAGATACAAATGACGTTTTGAATTTTTAAATTGTTAAGACAAAGCATACAGATTTTGAAAAGTAATCATGCATACATTGATATCTTAATCATTAGTGTTGTTCACAGTATTCATAATTTCATTTATTGTGAAATCACTAATTCTTTTCTACATGAGTAAAAACAAAAGCAGGCATAACAATTTTACATTCAAACAATGGTAAAAATGCACTTGTTTTATTCTTTTTCTAAAAGTCATAATTAACAATTTTCTTTTTTTTTTTTAAAGTTCTAATTTGGAAAAAAAGTTCAACCTATCAACCTAAAACTAAACGGAAAAAGGTAAAAAAATATTCTGATCATTGTAAAATAAGTTATTTTGCTTGATCTCTCCTCCCCAAAGTTTTTTATTCTTTTTATTTTTTGCATTAGAGAATTATAACTGTGCTCCAGTTTACAAGTTTCAAATTCCGTATAATTAAGAATTGATGAGAATTTATAAACGAAATAATAACATCTGTATCTGCTACAATTTTATTTTTTGAATATTTTTAATAATGTCATTTATACTGTTTTAGTTTACTGTATGCGTAGATCTGAGATACATTATATCAGTAAGCTAATACTCACGGACTTCGGTGCACTATTGGACTTTTGTGATAACAATTATGCAGGCATTTGGCGTATGCTAATTGAAAGCCTATACGAACTCATCACATACTTTTCACAATGTTATACATCATAGATATAGTATCCCCAAAGATAGAATGAATTAAGATTGAAGAATTAACATTTACTTCGTTTATTTTATTTCTTTTCATTTGGGACAAAAAGAAGAGAAGTATGTAATTGATTTGCTAATTGAAATAAAAATGAACAAAATTACAATGATAATAGTAATGTCTGTATTTCTATACACCACAGTTCTATTACTCAGGTGGGGCTATTCCTGTTGAAGATTTTAACCACATGGGGGAATAGGCATTAAAGTTCTTAACTGTAGCTGTGGAATAGATAAAAATTTACGATTGATGCTTTTAACTGCAACTATAATTCTCTGGGGAATCCCAGGTTGTATAGTTGCAGTGTGCGACTCGAAACTCCTGTCGATAGGCTGATGGGAGAAAGAGAGCAGTATCTGAAAAGGAAGAGCATCTCATGCAATACTTTGGATAAAAACTGGATTTAAGTAGTGCAGTGCTGTCATCTTTGATTATCATCAAAGACTAATGCTTGTTCTGTCTGTCACATTATTTATTATTCTCGGACTCCTCCACTTTAAGGATTCGGAATAAGCACTAATAACAGCATATATTTAACAACAGTAAAATGTTTAAAAGAGCATATTACTAAAAACGAAATGTGTTAGTAAGCAATTAGTAAAAATGCAGAAATACTTTAACAACGCACGTAAACTTAAGTTTGCAGAATGCACATGGAATTAACGGTTTGTCTCTTCAACTCAAGAAACGGTTATTATTTTACACTAAGGATCCTTTTCTTTTTTTCCTTCCCTTTCTTTCTTTCCTTTCTTCTTTTAGCCCAAAGGGACGTTAGACCCAAAAGGCCGTTAGTCTCAAAAGAGCATTTTGCATTGTTTCACTTTCTGCGTTGATTCCCTTTTCAAACTGTTGACACCAAATATTATCGCCGTTATTACCAAAATCAACAATGAAGAATTTGCATAAATGAATGAATGTTTCTCCCATTGAAAGGTACCTAGAGCCATCAAATTTTGAATAACATAGTCCTTCAACCAAACATGGGCACTTGGAAACCCGAATTTTGAATTTGTTTTATTATCTATTTCAAATTTTGTAAAACTTTAACGAATTTTTAAGTAACAAACTCAACGATTTCAAAGCCAGCAATGGCAATACTGTACTTTGAGGATTAAAAAAAAATTTATCCCCAGCGCCCGACACTGTGTATCGGAAATTCTAAAAATATGCTGTTTTTGAATATTTCGTGATATTGCGGTTGAGCTGAATTTTATGTGGTTTAAATTAGAAGAACATGATATTTAATAAATAATAATACACAGAACGTTAAAAAAAAGCTCTTTTGTTCATAATATAAAATCTGAAGGCTTTCAGATTTTCTTTCTTTTCTCCCCCCCCCTTTTTTAACATAGAATTTTTTCCCTTACAGTTTTTGCTTGCTCATCTGACAATTACTATTGCCAACTCGTATAATGTTTTAAAAAACAAATTTTAAATCTGAATTATCTTACATTCAGTTTGATCTTTCCTGTAGGCTAACTTGCATGCAGTTGGATGACTTTTATGCATTTAAGATTTATATATATATTTTTTTTCCTAAATTAAATAATGCTCAGTGTAAAAACTATAGCAACATGTTAGGATTGCCTCTTCGTTTTTTACATGCAATGTCGCCTAAGAGGCCGATAAGATTTTTATGGCAATTAGTTAATTTTATGAGCCTTTATTTGAAATCTTCTATTACAAGAAAAAATGTTTTCTTATTTTAAAATAAGAAAAACTTTTGTGTGCTACTGATCCTACAGCATTTCCAGAGAAAAAAAAAGAATTAGCCGCCACTAAGCGCATATAAATGATAAATACGACCTTCTAATGGAACCTAAATTAACGTTCAACTCTTGTATTTATTAATTTATTTCTATTAATTCCTTCAATTAAAAATTTAATATATATATATATATAACAGTAGAATAAATTTTAGTATTGATGAGTTATAAGATTCTTCAATTTGAGTTTCATGAATCAACAAATGAATAAATATACCTACAAGTATATAAAATGTTTTTTTAATTCATTCAACTGAAAAAAACTTACATTTTTCAAGTTTATAAAATTCTCTTCTAATATTCCTATTTTCTTTACAGAGAGAAAAAGTGTATATTATTAATTGGCGAATTAAAATAAATGTTTTTTGATTGTATTTGTATAGAAATTCTGCAGATTTTCATAACTATTTGGTAAGGAAAAAGTAATTACAGTAAATAATAATCAGCAAAAGAATAATAATAAATATTAATGCAGCATATTTTTATGACATAAATTTTAATAACTTGAACATTGTGTAAAAAATTAGTATTCTTAAATTTTTTATTTTAATTTTCATTACAGGTATTTTTCCTTCAGGATTTACTTATGTAAAGTCATCACATGCGCTTTTGAGTTTACTAACCAGAATTTAAATTTATTAAATTCACATATAGTTAATCATTAATTCAAGTTTAAATGTACAAAATTAAATTTACACAACGACGAAAAAACGCATTTTATTCTTTTCTTATTTTAATATTCAAGTCTCGTTTCGAATTATCAAGATGAGAATGGGAGCGAAAATTTTCTCATATAAATCGTTCAGTTAAGCTTTGGGCATCTTGGCGATAAAACATCCGTTTTGTTATAGCAACCCCTTCATGAATGATCCTTGTATTCGATGCTAGTTTTTCATGACTCAGTTGTAGCGCCGTTTAACTAAATCTTAGTGCATTCAAGAAAGGAGCCGTGCACTTGTATTTTATATACAAGATCGTGTTTTAATTAGTATTGCATGGAATTTTTTTTTCGATCGTTGCTTATTTACTCCCAGCTGAGAGCTTTTAAACTGTATTCCGGTGTTTGTGGGAAAATAAATTTCAATAACGCACCCTAGCGGTAACCTGTGACAGAAAACAGTGTGTCGCCGAATGAGGATAACGAAGAGCGGGATGATCGTGCAATGCAGCGAGAGTAGTGTCACACTTGTTGGAGTTATCAATTTGAGGATAATGAAGATGAAGATTAAAAGTCATGTGTAAATAAAAATGTTAATGAGATGGCTTATGTTAACGTCGCTGAATGGAAGCCGGATCACGTAGCTGACTGGCTACGGGGTAAGTTTTTTAGTTTTTGGCTAATTTCTAAATATTCACGGCTCTCCAATATAGTTTCGAAAGCATATGAGTTATATTTTTCCTTGACATAAGAAATCTTCATTTGATTTTAAGGAAGACGTTTATTTTAAAGTAAATGTTTACAAACAAATGAAAAACTATTAAATTTGGTATTTGACTGAATAATATTATTTAAAAACAGATTTTTAATTAACTGTAAATGCCATATTATGTAATGAAAAATAGCCATTTGTAAGAGAAAATTTAACATTCTAATTTTAGCTCGTTTTCTATTTATTTAGTTCTTATGTTTGACTGAAAAGCTGATTTTGCTGTATGTTATATGGAAATATTTATATACAGATGTTATATTGAAATTAATTTTGCTATTAAAATTCACATGGTAACTTATGTGAATGTATGTAGAAATAAATATTTTTACATATGAAATAATTTGAAACGAGTTTTTCTCATAAAAGCATTCGGTTGAGAATAGTTTGTATAAGTATGTAGTTTTGTAATGAAAATGATTATTAGGTCCCTGATATAACAGTATTAATTTGTTTGGTTATTTTCTTATGTAAAATGTAAATATATCTATGTTTTTATGTAGTTATGTAGCACATACGCAAAATTTTTCCTGTGATGGGTGGATGTAAAAAATTGTCGAAATATGCCTTTTTGTTTTAGGAGGAAGGAAATTCAAAGACAAGACAAGACAAAAATTTATAAATAATGAGTTCCTGTTAGACTACTGTAGTGCAAATTTAAACTAATTCCTGAAATGTTAAAAAGGTTGCTTTATTTTTCTGCAAAATAATTATAATTTTCTGAATAATTATTAATTTTTTCTATATATTAACCTGAATTTCCCTCAGTTAAGGTACTTTAGTTGTATTGTAAAATTCATATGTTTAGCTTATTTATAATTCTTTTTTATAATAATATTACTGTTATTTAGGGCTTGAAGATGAAATTCAACCTTATACACAATTCTTTGTAAATAACAAAGTTAATGGATGTCAGTTACTTACTCTGGCAAGAGATGATCTTACCAACCTAAATATGACTAAAATTGGACACCAAGAACTGGTGCTTGAGGCAGTTGAATTACTTCGACAATTAGTAAGTTTATAAATAGATTTGAATTTGTCTTTTTGCAGTACTGGATTCAATACAATGCAGTTCCAGTTTTTAGGGTTTGATAATGTAATCTCAGTATTGAGTTTATTTCATTTGAAATAGTCAAGTAAATAAAACGTAGCTGTCTTAAAATCCAATATTTGATAACATCAATTTTACTCACAAACAGCTTAAAAAATCAAAATTTAGAAATTTTAAATATATTTATTTTTTCAAATCAAATTATATTTTGTTTTTATGTAATCTAAATTTGGAATACAAATCTATTAAGAAAGACTATATTTGTAAAGTAAATTTTCATCATGTGATTTGTTATACATCTGTTGCATCTTTTTAATAAAACTAGTATATACTCAAATACTTTAAAAACTGAATGCAAACAAACAACAGACTTGTGAGACCAGTTCTAATTCTTTTATTAAAAAAAAAAAAAAAAAAAAAAAAATTTTAAAATATTTAGCTCATGAACTTGCGAAGTTTTAGTTACTTCATGAGTTTAAATGTATTAATTACCACAAGCCATCATCTAGCAGCACTTACTTTAACTATTACCATTTATATCACATCTGTTGGAAAAGTATATTACTTTTATTAACTTATATACTATGAGATCAATGTGAAAAATTCCTTTCTTTCAAATGAGCTGTGGTCAGATAATACTGTTATAAATAATATAAAATGAAGTATAATACAAGTAATTTTTAATAATTTATTTCATGAACCTTAGCACTGACTTTCAGATATTTATCTAATCTGTAATTTCATATTCTTAAAGGATGTGTAATCTAAGATGGTCATTAGTGTTTATAGTGATCTCCAGCTATTACAAGTTATCTTATTAAAATAAAATTAGGAATCACCTTATATTGTTATTGAAAATTGTATCAATATAATACAAAGTCAACCTAAAACTACCAGTTCTTAATAATAAACTTTTGTAAATAAATGAGAACAATCTCTATTTGAGTATCTGATTTTACTATATAGATATTTTATTTGTTATTAATACACTGACTTTAGGTTGGACATTTATATTTTATTTATATATAATTTATTTGCTTAATAACTTTCTCGAGATAAATTTCATCTTGCATAAATACAGCAGTTTGTTTTATAATATTTTTCATTTACACTTTTATGTGCACTAATATGCTTTCTTCAAATTAAATGCTGATTTAAAAAGTTTTTCTCATTTCAAAATTTACTTTAGATCTTGTTTATTTATCAAGTATAAATTTTAAAATAATTATCATTCAAAGTATCTGAAAATTATAAATAAATTATATTCATTTTGTAAAATCTACTAGTAATTGAGAAGTTACAAGTAATCTTGTTATAAATTCTAACAAACCTTTTAATTTTAAATCTAATTTACTTCTTTTGTATCTTTTTATTTTTAGAATTCTTGTTTATTTTATTTCATATTTTTTACATTGCATTTTTCATTTCTCTTGGATCTGGATATAGCACATATCTGAATATTTGAAATCTTCCAATTTATATATATATTTCCATCCCTCTTTTTTTTAGCACTACAACTTAACTTCTGAGACACTTCAGTCCCTTGCTCTTAAGCTTGGCTGCAAAGCACAGAGTCTTTTTAATGATCTGAAACGAGTCTGTCAGGATTTTGCAGATTCTGGAAAAAAGGAAAGAGTTTCTGTGGAAACTTTATCTGGTGTTTCAGATATCATTAATCTAGTCAAATCACTCATATCATGGTTAGACAGGTATGAATTTAATATATTTTACTCATCTATAAAATAACAGCACTGTGGGCATATGAAACTAATGCCTATTTTTTTTTTTTTTTTTTTAATATATACATACTTATTTAAATGGTAAGCTACATTTAGTTTTATATATATATGTACTTTTAGTTTTATACTCAAATTAATATTGGGAGATAAAATAATCAATATTTCTTTAGTAAATAAATTATTATTATCTTATTTTGCAGCTATATATATATATATATATGTATATGTATTTATATACACACATATATATATATACATATAATATATATATGTGTATATAAATACATTATTATAAATTTATTGTGTTATGCGCATCATATATGCCAAGCTGTTTCTGATCCATGTTGTGGTGCAACAGAATAATTTATAGCAGTTTCATTGTAATTAATTAAGCAGTTAGAAGATTACATTTAGAAAATATTTTCAAGTCAAATTTCACGATTAATTCTTTTCTAATTATTAAAAATATAAGCTGTTTTTAGGTATGTATGTGTGCATGTATGTAAGTATGTATTTATTAACATATGTATGTACACATACATGCATTTCTGAATCTTGTCTCAATAACAGAAAAGTACCATGTAGTTGCTTGATACTTGATGATGTACCATGATGCTTGATCTCTCCGAAATTTTTGGACCGTTGTGTTATGTGATACATCATCTACTTTGCTTGGTAACTGTTGTGACAAATTCGAAAGACAAGAGGTAGCGTAAATAAATAATTTATTTGGGTTCTTATTAGGCTATATGAAAATAAATAAATAAATAAATAATAAAAAATAAAACTCATAAAATATTGATCTCACAGTAGGGTGAATAAGTTCCTGTTTAGAACTCAGCCAAGATGAAAGTTCTTGTTTGGAAATAGTTCAAGAGGAGGCTGTCTTGGATAAATCGAATCTCTAAGCCGGTGGCTGCTGGACTGAGCTGTGTCCGAGCAGGATCCTCTTCGCAAGGTAGCGGCAAACTCGGCTACCTCATTGTAAATCTCTTGGCAGAGATATAAATATCGCTCAACGCAGAGCAAAGCAAGAATTTGCTCGTGTCCGAGCTGGAAAAAACCGAGAGAAGGTTTCTCTCTCTACTTACTGCAACTAACTCTCATTTTTTCTCTCTCTGGAACTGCATTCCATCATTTTGTTCAAGTTGTCACGGGCGTGTTGAAATGAATCCCAGGATCCTCATTTGTCCGTAATTTTTAGAAGCGCCTCTTGATTGGCGAGAGCACTTTGATTAACAACTAGATATGATGAAGACAGCCTGGGAAAAAGTCCGTGAGAACTTTCCGATTCCAAATGGGGACTCAAAGCGGGTGGTCTGAGACACTGAACCTATAAACTGATGAAAGGGAACAGAACAATGTCTCCCTTCAAACAACTATAAGAGGAACAAAAAGCTGAGATTGTTTTGTGACTGCTGGTCACTTTCTCTTTGCGAGAATTCGCTAAGAAATACTCTGTCCATAGGAACTTTCATGGTGATCATTCTTTTTCTGAGAACTTCGTGATGGTCGATAAAATAGCTTAAGATGTTACACTGTGGTACTGAGCAATGCATAAAGTATTATTTATCTTTCAAGTGCCTCATGTTTAACCAATCCTCAGAATGCCATTCAGCAAAAACAAGTTTTTAGCCTTTGCATTCAACAGTCATTAATTGTTGAACTTATCAATGATTTAAAAGCAGGAAAAATATTTCTTAACTGTTAAAATTATTTATTTATTTATTTTTTTTTTATAATACAACTATTTGAAATAAATTAAAACAGATTATTCTAAGTAGTAAACTATATTTCTAATGCTATATAATGTATCTGCTACAGGATTGTTTGGGTTTTACATCTAATTTGTTTAGCTTCCAAAAGAGTATGATAGTACGTTTTTAGGGTAAAAAAAATAAGGAAGAGCTTTTAGGCAATAAATTCTATGTTTAAAAATGTCAAAGGGGGGGGGCAAGAAGTGTGAAATAATTGTAATTTCGGAAGACCCTACATCTTGCCTAAAAGCAAAGGAAAACACATAATTATACATAAATATTTTATTACATCTCTTAATGTTATTTCTTGGCATAGAGGCTGTATGGTTTATTATGCATTACATAAATATCTCATCATCAGATCAAAAAAGGGGAGAATAAAAAATAGTGCGAAGATTTGCGGTGCAGTTTTTCATGTGTGGGGAATTGAAAGTTCATAATTTATTGAGACATTAAATTTGAAACTATCATTTTACATTTGTAAAACAAATTAAGAAAATTAATCTAAAAATAGTTTTTATTAGAGAATTATGAAAAAGGTTCAGAGAGATCCTATAGTCTTTACTATTTTGTTCTATTAATTAACTTAGAAAGGAGTAATATTCATAAATATATCCCTAATTATAAGTTGTAAGATGGCTATAAATGTGTATTTGGAATAATTATGTGGTTAATTGACATCTAAAATAGAAGTTATTAATTGATTTTAAAAAAAGTGTTGTCATGTCTTCTTATTATCTGATAGGGTATAGACATATAACTGCCAACTTTAAGTTTTTCAGCACATGTCGCAGTAGATCCCCAGATCCCCGGTTTTTAATTTTTAGCCTTTAATTATACATATTCCACTTTCTATCTTTCATGACTTTTTGCTCAATTTTTTTATTAAATTTTATTTGGTTTGAATTGTCTTAATCTGCTATAGACATCTATAGAAATTTTTATGAAGATTGAAGCAATGTTTAATCATTTCACATTTGTATTAATTTTTATTTTACATCAATAATCTTATATTACTAAGTTAATCTATATAAGAATATGTGCATTAATTATTAATTTTATTCTCATCATATTTAAAAATAGTTTGATAAACAAAAGCTTTCCTTTCTTATTCATGATTTTCTCAGTATAAAATTTAATAAAATTACAAATGAAATTAGCCATAGAATAAAAAAATTAACACTTGTATTATAAATAGTTCAGTAACCTGAATCATATGTACCTCCAAAAGAACTTAAAACTGATTTAAATTCACTTCGGCATGAAGTGAATTTAAATCAGTTGGGAGTTTTTTTGAAGTGACATCATCTGTACAGCACGGAAAACGTCCCCGAAGCTCTCGACTTTTCACATTTCAGGTTTGGCAACTATGCTGTAGTATAACAAAGACTAATTTATTGCATTTTAATTCTAAGAGTATCTTTTTGATGGTCAATAGTATTGATATTGTAAGTGCTTGCTTGTGAATGAAATTGTGATATATCAGAATGTAACAAAGATTAACTACTATTTGATGTTTTATTTTTGGTTTTAGGTATCCGTTTGTTGGTCAAGAGAATTATGTTGATGTTCGTAAAACCATATTGAAACTGAGTGTTGAACTGGCTTCAACTGCTCAGCGGGATCAATTTGCTGAAAATCCTCATAAAATTATAAAAGAAACAGTAAGTATTTCGTTTGCAATTCAATTGCTGTATATTATATTGATGTCTTCAGTAGGAAAATATTTATGAATTTTATAAAAAAATCGGAATATAGCCAATATTTTTTTGAAAAGTATGTATTATTATGAATGCAAACCTATTCCTTATTGTTAGTAATGATGTATTGGAAAGCATTGCCATGAACTCATAGTGAGGTTAAAGAAAAAAGAAAGAAAGAATTTAAGGTTAAATAAAGTAAATGATTTAATTTATTATGTGATTCTGTAAGTTGTATATAATTCTGACATTTGATGAAGCAATTTAGTATTATTTTTAACCTATACAGCTATTCTCTCCATTTATTTTTTCCATACAGTTTGATAGTTAAGATATGAATGGCACTCTGTTTTCAGTTTTAAAACTTAAAACGATAAAAATAGACACAAATTTTGAAACAAACAATGGGCTTTTCCTTTCAAAAATATGTATTGTTAATGAATATTTTAAAGAAAATATTGCAAAGGATACAAATTAATGCAAAGAAACCTATTTCTTAATTCGTATTTTTTTTCCTTTGTAGTGCTTAAAACTTGCTGCTCAAAGTGATAAAATTGTTCAAGATTTCAATGATTCTTTAATTATACAACCAGCATCTCTGGAAGTTGCCAAAATAAAACGCAAAGTTGATGATGATTTGGTAAGAATTTTATGATAAGAAAATATACTTTATATTTTTCTTTCAAACTCATGAGAATTTAAGTTATCATTATGCTTTTCTCTAATTAGTATTAAGTATTTCAATATTTACATTTTTAGTATATGTAAGGTACACATTTAATATGAAATTTGTACATGTTTTTAACCAAATTAATTGGGAAAAGTATTTTTGCTAAAGCAGTGTAACCCAACATATATTAGTTCTGTCAAAGTTATCAATTAAGGGAATGAAAAGTATAAGCATTTTAAATTTAGAAATAAGATATTGTATCTGTTGCTTATTCAGTAACAGTTTATATCTTTTCATTGCTCAGAAGGCATGTTGGGCAGTGCCATTTGAACCTTGTGGAGGCCTCTAAACAGTCAAAATATCAGGGCCACCTTTGCAAATTATCTCCTAATATGTTTTTAATTGTAGGCAAAAGTTTTAGTAAACCATTTTATTACACAAAACAAACATTAATTATTGATGTTATTAAACAAATTTGGATATTTTTTAATTGACAAAAATATTTAATGTTATTAAACAATCTTATTAGTAAAATAAGTTTTTGAAAATGTTAATTTTAATAAATTATAAAAACTTTAGACAATAAATTACCTTAATTTTTGTAAAATGAAATCTTTCAAAATATCTGTTGAATCTTCATTTTAAAAACAAACTTTTAACAATAATTTAAAAAAGGCTTGATTGTAATTTTTTTTCCTAGATAAAATTAATAATATTATTTGGTGTGCTGTTACTGATCAGTGCATTCGTTGCCTTTTTAGGCAATCTAACACTGATCTATGAGCTAGATATTTAGATATATTGGAAGTATAGAGTATGAAGTATATACTCTGGTTGAGTAATTCAGAATGGCTGTTTCTTGGTTATTCTTTTTGTCATATATTCTTTGCATATAAAACAACTCACCATAGGTGGGTGCCAGGAAAGATTATTTTTCACACTGTAGGGAAGAAGGAATGCATTTACAAGACACATCCTTTCTGGTAAATGCAGGAACTAAAATGTCTTTACAAAAGTTTACCTTACATTGTTTAAGTAAATTAATTATTTTTATCTGAGTGCAAAAATGCAATAGGAGTTTGCTGTATATGAGTTGGGAATGGGAATATGTTCTTCCATAGTATATTTCTCAGGCTTATGAAAAAGTAAACCCTGTATATAATTTTCTTCTGAATTATATTATATGAGGAGTGTATGAAATATCATTTTATATACAGCACAGATATTCTTAAATTTGACATTTTACATTTGTAGTTACACTAAACCTCAAGAAGCATGTAATGAGAAACTGAGTGCTTTTTCTCTTTTCAAACCACGCATACATAAAAAGTTTTTAGCAGATGCATAAAATTTTGGAGCAGTATATACAGCATTTAAATATACAGCAAATTACATACTGCCACATTAAAAAAATATCTATATTACTTGTTACAAAGTGAATAATTTTATTTTTAAATAGTTTTTTAATTTTTTTAAAATTTTATTTAAGTCTTATTATTATTATTTTTAAAGTATAGTTTGCTACTTTATTTTTACTCATCTTGAACATTTAGGTATTCCAGTAAAGTATCTCTTAACAGTCTTTAATGGTATTGAAAAACTGCTTTTATACTTTTGATGATATTGTTGAGGTTTCTGAGTGCAATTTTTCTTAATTTTAGGGTATCCATATTAATTCTCTTTATACTGGAATACATGTTATTGAAGATGTCAAGTTTCAGGTATACATTTTGTGGTATAATAAAAGGATTTGATAGTTCCCTAACATAATTAAGATAATTAATCACGAAATAATTTCATTTTTGTAAATTTGGTTTTGTTCACTAATTCTTTATATCCCATTTTAAGCCTGGTATTTACATCTAAATAATGTTATTTAAATATTTTTATAGTTGCAGTTTAACTTTTATTTTCATCTAATTTTCAGTAAAGTATTCAGTATCAATCTTTGTGCATAAAAAATTATGTAAGAAGGTAGTTATGTTATCATTATAGGTAATACTTGATGCAGATTGCAATATTTTTTCCCCTGGAAATAAGAAATAATATAATCTGTATGCAGTAGGTAGATCTTTCATAGTACCTCACATATGATCAATTAACTTGCTTGAAAATATTTTTTAACTAATGAATTAATTTACAATAATATATATATATACAGTCAAAAGTCGTTAATCCGGACTCGTCGGGACTTCGGCGATTCCGGATTATCGATTTTTCCGGATTATAGATCATCAGTTTAAATCTGGTAAGATGGCATGCAGAAATTATAAAATTAAAAATATGAAACCGTAATTTATGAAATAAACAGCAATTATGATCTAAAGGGTATCAAAATTTACAAAAAAAGAAAAAGCTTAATATTTATTTGTTTACTTTATTAAACATTTCTTTCAATGTAAGTTGTTTAATTTGCTTCGTTTCATGTGATAATACTTTCTCTTTAATCTTTATAAAACAGACATAATTTCTTGTTTACTTACAAAGTTCCGCTGTTCAAGTCCTATAATTGCTCTGTCGAAAATATCAGCTAATTTGTCAATCGAAATTTTTTCGTTTTCATAACCTCGAGTCACTTCCTTTCACTATCGGAAGTGAATTATAATGAGGAGGAACTTGATTTAAATCATATCAAAGACTGAGTACACGATGAAATACTACATTTAGTAATGAATTATAAGCCAAATAAAATAAAAACATCTGCTCTGAAGATAAGGATAGTGCTGACAGATCAACTTCCAATTCATTGCGCGCCGTGTTGTTTCCCTCCCCCCGCAGAGCAGCGTGAAATTGATAAACATATTTCGGAATGATTAGATAATCAAAGGATATATGCCTTTATCCATTTTTTGCAGCAATTCCTTTTTTTGTTTCTTGGACATCGAAATATACTTTCGCTTTGTAGATCCTTTGGGAGCTCCAGCATCGGAAAATGTATTTGACATAATCCAAAGTTCAAGCTTACTTTTATAAAATTGCTCTAACAGTCTGCAAAAAATAATAAGCCGGATCCAATTCGAAGATTAAGGAACAACGCAATCTGCAACATTAACTGAAATAAAAAATTAGATAGTTTTAGCTTATACCGTCCGTTTTACATTAAACGCGCATGCGTAAACGTATTATGCACATGCGCACATGTATATTCGCAGCCGTAAAGGTCTTACGCGCACGCGTAAATGCCTATGCGCATGCGTGAATGCCACGCATGCGCAGAAAGTTTTTAGCTTTGAGGTCCAGATTATAGATCATTCCGGATTATGGGTGTCCGAATTAACGACTTTTGACTGTATATATATAAAATCATTATAATTAATTTTCCATCGCTAAGAATAATTCTTTTGATAGTCATTTGCAGCTATCTTATTTTGTCATGCTGTTTCTTGTTTCTTCAACACTTTTTATTACATACATGATTATTTGGATATATCATTACTTTTGTAATTTTTTTTTCTTTTTCTTTAATGAATATACACATATAGAGTTATGTCATTTGTTTTTCTTTGCATTACATTTTTCATGAAATCTACACGTATAATATTTTTTTATCGATTGGTGGCATATCAAAACAAAGGAGATGAAAGAACCCCTAAAAGTGCTTTATTTGAACCGCCCCGCATCCTTTTTCTAAGTAATATTTTTTTGTTAAAAATCCCAGAATTTGTTTTGGAAATTTATTAGGTTCATTTACATAATTAATTCTAGTTTCACAGAAGAAAAAAGCCTACAGTTTCAACCCTTTTCAAAATGATGATTCTTAAAAACAATATTCATTTTTATATGAGAATTTCAGCATTTCGTTATTTGTTTAGTGTTTAGTTAGGTATAATATAAAACTACTTTATTCAAGTTTGGTATATCAACATTTTATGTACCTTTTTCATTAATTTTAAAACACAAAAAAATAATAAATTATAAAATATATTGTTTTTTCATATTTGGAAGTAGGGAAAGAGCGTGATTGGCAATGGTGAATGGGTGCTTGGGGGGGGAGAAACGCTGTTTAAGATCACCAAAATTTCAAAGTTCATTTTATATTTTGACTTTTAATAGACACTGTAGAATTGGTAAGAATTTAAAAAAAAAATTACTTTTATTGTAAAGTTGCTTATATAATATTAACTGTCTATGTCTACAAAAGAAGTATGAGTATAAAGTTATAATTGTATTATATTAACTTTCTGGATAAATAAACTCTTTTTTAGTGTTTGTTCAGTTTAAAACAGGAATTAAATTCAAACATTTATTAGATTAAAAATAATCAACTGCTCTTGTGGTTCTTGTATTTGTGTCATTTTTTTTTAGAATAAATTATTTAAAATTCTTTGGAATTTCTTTTTTAAAAATTTTTGACTCTTTAATAAAACATTTAGATTTTTTAGATTAGAAATACGTACTGTAATATTAGATTAATAGATTACACAATTGTTAGTTTTGTAAGAATGTGGATATTTTCTTATTTTTTTGCATAAATTATGAAAGTAAAACTTTATCTTACTAATTATTACCATATGTAAAGGAAAATTCATAAATAATTTCCTATTCAGAGCACCTGGTTACATAATTATTTTCTGTTCTCAATATTAATAAAACATTTAATATGATCTTGTTCTGAAAAGACAGATTCTATATGCTGAGTAACCTATTTGAGAATGTATGCTTCTAACACATTTTATTTTGAATCAAAATTAAGACTTAATATGTTTTCTGACGTAACTTCGCTCAGCATATATTGCACATTCGTACAGTAGTTATTAAATCATACAGATGGCAGATTGCACAATTTATAAGAAAAATCTGTTTACATATGTGCATTTATTTATTAATTTTATTTTTTTGTAATTCTGCTTTTAGATAATATGTAATAAATGTTGTAAAAATAAATTTTTTGTTATAATGTGTAAGATACAAATAATATTTATTTATGTTGTGATTAATGTTATATTTTTTTCCCATAACTACAGTTGCATTTTACTAAAAGCTAAAAAGCAAGACTTCTATCCTTTCAGGAAAATACTTTTTTTGGGGGAAGTGAAAGAAATCAAACTGGAAAAGCACTAAAAAAAAAAAAAAAAAAAAAAAAAAAAAAAAAAAACTTATTGTCTAAAAATTGTTTAGTTTTTTTATTCCTTAAGTGCTAGCCAGTTGGCCACTAGGTCATGAGGCCACGTGCTGTCCAGTATTTTTCCAGAAGACAATTGAAATGAGATAATGTGAGCAGTGCTCATATCCTGTCTAGTTGAACACAAGATACACACAACTAAAAATTATAGTTCCATGAGAAGCTTACATAATCTTTTGTACAAAGAGGTTATCTTATACTGGAACACCAGTATGTTGAAAAGAGCATGTTACCAAAATAGATTCTTAGAGAACAAATGAAGAGTGATTAAAGTTGGTAACCATACCAGTATATATACATAATGGAAAATATAAAGACACATATAATAACATAATATAGAACCCATACTTCGATATTTAGAAAGTCATTAACACATTCAACAGAATCTGCTTATCACTAAAGTAACTGCAGAAAAGATTAAGTACTGAACAGGAAATTCATAAAGAATTGGTGAATTTGATCCTTGTGAAGACATGTGGCAGCATATTTGGCATTGAGCAATCAGTACAGTTAGAGCTTCAAATAAATTATACATATTGATAACATAAAAGCAAAATGTAATTTCGCTTGTACATAGTGCTGTCTGAAAATCAGTATCCCAGGTGGTTTGTCTGTACCACCTGTGCATGCTAGTCAATGCTATGAAGATAAGATATATCTCTGCTGCATTAGGGCTAGCATTGCTCTATTATAGAAGCATTTTTTTTTTTTTTTTGTCTTGAATTCATATTGTCCTTATTATGTGTACGTTGTACGTATACATTAAATTTTATGCATATTTATCATATTATTTCTTTCTAATTAATTTTAGGTAATTACTTTGTGGCCTTATCGAATACCATCAAAGAAAACTGCTTTTCGTAAACTGTATAAATGGAATAAAGGCAAAGATATTCGTGAGCTGTGTCCCAAATCACCTGGAGCTAGGTAACAATAAAATTTGTAAACTAAAAAATTATTGCATGCATGCTGTCATACATTTATATGTTATAATTGTGAAGGTTTTCACAAATAAGACAAAGCAAGTATTATAAAAAATAGCCAATATATAATTAATAGATACTTTACACTGTATGTCTATATTATTTTGACATTGTATAAAAGTTATGCATTCTCAAGTTAGATTATAATATAAAAATAATTGCATTAAAATTTTGTACATATTTGAAACACTTGGTAGCACATTATAGTTTTGATCTTGATTTATATTTTTCATATTTCTAAGTATTATTTTTGGTTTGTTTAAAATTTTTGTCAAAAATAAATTAAATCATTTGAAAAATATTTAAATCACAATGTTTTACAATCCAGCATGAAAAGATTATTTCATAAAATCATGCAATTGAGTAGTTAAAAATATGTGATTAAATCTTGTATTTATATTACATAAAAGTAAAAAGAAGAATATGAGTTCAAAAAGGTCTGAATGAATGATTTTATTTTTGAAAATAGAATTATATATTGTAGCATATGTGTATAAATCTTTAAATAGCAAGATAGCAGTATTTAATCATAATGTTAATCATATATAAAATGATGTAAGATTTTTATAATTTAATTTGAGCACAAACACAGAAATACTTAGTATTAACGAGAGTAATTGTAAAATAATATTGAATGCATAGTTCATTGTCTGCATTAGCTTACCAAGTACTGAAACTCCAAGAATAATAAATTACACAAGAAGGAAGGCAGTTTTTAAATTCATATTTATCTTTTGAAATTCAACATAAAATTAGGTAAAGCAATAATTGGTATGCATTATAGCAAAGGACTCTATCAATTTCGAAGGCAAGAGGTACTGGTCTCTCATCATCAGGAGAAAAGAATTTCTGAAAAGAAGAGAGCTGTATTTATACCAAAAACCAAACAAATGTAAACTCCAAGAATAAATAAAATGAACAGTTACTTCCCTGTTCATTTTATTGCTTGCCTTTTGGTATAAATACAGCTCTCTTCTTTGCAGAATTTGTTTTCTTCTGATTATAAGGGATCTGCATGTGTTGCCCTCGAAATTGATAGACTTTGGCTAAAACATATGTCAAATAGAATGTTGTTGCTTTGCTTAATTTTATATTTTACTTTGGTTTGTTTCTCTTCTGTTTTGATTTTAAATATCAAATTGTCTTCTCCAGTATTCTTTCGTCCCCTTCTTCTTCTTTATTTTTTTTAATTTAATGATTACAAATATTCAAGTAGAAATGCTTATTCTAATGTAAATTCAATTTGTTCACTCTAGGAACATATTGTAGAAAGCTGCTATTATATATATATATATAATTTAAAAAAAAAAAATGTAATGATAAAAAGGCAGTATTTAGCAAATACTACTGTAAGAAAAATCTTATTTTACTACATCCACATTAAATTATAATAACATTGCAATTAATAGAACTAAAGGATAGCAGTAAAATCAATGTGTCAAAAATAAATAAATTTGCTGAATCTAATACATTTAGTAAGGAAACTCTTAACAAATTGAATGAATTTAAGGTAGAAATAGCAATGCCTACAAAGCACTGTTCCATTTTTAGGTAAGTTTTAAAGATTTCCTGAATTCATATGTAATAAAATTATCTATAATTAGAAGTCTATATCTGAAATATATAGTTCTTGTAAAAAAAAGCCAATATTTCATAGAAATAAAATTTAATTATGCATTATTATTAATTGTGTTTTTTTCATTTGTTTAAATGAAAAATATATATTCAATAACATTTATACCTTCACAGTTTATAAATAAATATTATTATAATTGTTAAAACACAGTCTCTTTTAATATTTAGGGGAGAAGCAAACAGTGTATCTGAGGTGAATGGTGGATTGTCAGAAAAAGAAAAGCTTTTTGCCGTGAACAAACCTCGAAACCGACTGCGACGTAGAGCTACTGTGACTGGTGTCTCTCCAACAGCTCTCCATGCACCTGTCAGTTTGGAGGAATTAATTGGCAACAACTCTAAGCGCAAAGAATCAGTTTTGAGAACAATTTCTTATGATCCTAATAAAACTATTGATTTAGAAGATAATGTTTTTAAAAAAGAAAATCCTCAAAGCTGTACTCAAGAAGATAAAGGTGAAACTCAGTCAAGTGAAAGTAAAGCAAAATCTGATTCTCTTGATGATAAGGATATATCATCACCAAAAAGCAACTTCTTGCAGCCTCCACAGGAAAAATTTATGACAGGACATCTGAAACGCCAAGAAGCACTGAAGAACTCTGAAACTGTTGCACGAGCTGGTGTTGCAGTACCTTCTTTTCCTCCTTTGAGTACATCATCAAACTGCGCACCTCCAAAGCCTCCACACAGAACAGTAGCTCAGCCTCAGAATCACACAAGTAATGATGTAAATGCTCTCACACAAGAAGCTACACCTTGTGGCAGCCAAAGTCCTAAACAAAAATTTGCTGAATGGGTTAACAAACAGAAGAAAAAGCCAGAAGGTATGACTAAATTTTTCTGTTGTTACTTTTTTTTTTTTACTTTTAAGTTTATTTGTAAGCTGAATTAAATTTTTAGCTCTCTAAATATGCAGAGGTCCTCTGAAGAAATACTTATAAAAACTTTAAACTGATATTAAAATACATTAGTGATCTGAATATGAGGGGATATTCTCTTCCTTAAAAATTCTGCCTCTGAAGAATTCTACCCTTCTTTTATAATAAATCTAATGTTTGAAAATGGAAATAATTTTCTATGCATTCCTTAGCTTTGTTATTACCTACTCAAATAATTTAATTTTCAGTGTTCCATTGTGTGTTTTTTTTCTTTAATACTCATTGCAAACATGTGAGAATGATAAAGTTAACTTACAGAGTTAAAAGTTGTAAACACCAATTTCTTTTGAAAGTAATTGAGTTTGTTTGTGACAGGAAGATTCTCTTATGATTCCATGTTAGGCAAATAATTACTACAGACAGATTGTGACAGAAACGTTTGTTGTCAAAAACAACATAACATGTGTAAAAGTAGGCAACGTATATGAAAGTAGCTAATAGAAGAGGCAGCAAACCAGCCAACCAGCAGAACCATAAATTTGCAGTATTTATAATTTTAACATTCTGCTTAGCATGTTCTCCTCCCTCCCCAAGAAGAAATAATGAATAGTATTTTTAGAAATAAATTTCGATGTTTTAAGTATCATGTTAGAAATAGATCATGGTTATATTAAGCACTTAAGGTATTTATATCATCATAACAACTAAACAAAAAATAATATTATTTTTAACATACACTGTATTGCTTAGGAAAATACAATCTGTTTAAAAAATATCTGGAAAAAGTTGTAATACAAGCTAAAAATTTAACATTTAGTATCTCTTAATCACATATTCTAATGATAGAAAATATACAGCCAGTCAGTGTACAAGAAACATTTTCCCTACAAACACCTGACTGCTGTGACAGTTTGATCTGTTTATTTGGTAGTGTCATTTGTATTAGCAAATTAGGAATGCCCTAAATACAAATAGAGTCGGTATAATTGACTAAGTGCATTCAATAGCTATCACACCTTCATATTTTGTGTTTAATAGCACATCACATTCAAAGAGGCAGACTGGTTATTTTGAAGAATTACTCAAGTTAAGGACAAAGACATGACACAATCAGATAATATTGTTACCAGCAGGGCATATATAACCATTATGAGAGCAGTTTTTGGTCTAGGTGAGAATATATCAGATACTGAAGAGCATTTCAATTCTTTTAGTGCTCCTTTGCAGCACTTGAATGGCCTATGAAAATAAGTCTCTGACTATTAGTAACTGTAATACTACAGCATTTTTCCATTTACTGGGCGTTTTTCAAGCTGTAATGCACATCTATATAATGCTGAATTTTTGAAGAAGAGGGTCCATCTCATCTAAATTTTTTTGGGTCTCTCATCTTAAGAAGTAGAATATGATTACTATTTTAAAAATATAAATTGATGGTTTTGGGACTCATGACTGTGGCTTTGTAGTGAAAATGGAATGAGTGGAAGTCCTCGTGACAGAAAATGAAAGCTCTAGTGACTGTGGCTTTGTACTTTCATAAATCTGCCTCTACATCTACACAGGACAAACATTTCTAAATAATGTCTTATATTATGACACAACTCTCCCTTTCCTGCCAGATCTTTTTGCAATCTACCCTGTATAGAATATGTTAAAATGCCAGTTACAGCCATCTCGCTTCATACATGAATTTATTCAGCAGTTACAGACTGTGTAGGTAAATTTCCAGGACAGTATTTGATGCTGATATGAGCACATGCCAAGATCATACATTCTCATGCAATGGCACTCAGAAGCATCTTTGTATCATGCTAATATGTAATAATTCTGAATCTATTATACTTATGCATGAATTCATTGCTATCCAGTTTTGATCACTTATTCATTTTTGCCATCTTATTACTCATGTCAAGTTTCATCGTGATCAAACAATTCTTGATGCTGGATCCTGTTGACACAAAACATTATTTCTATCATTCTGGCTATTATATACAGTTAGGTTTTTAAAATTATGAGAATTACAAGACATAAAAACTATGCCATATCAAACTTCAATTTATTACCTAAATTATGTGAACTAATACATTACCAATGTGTATTATGTGTGTGTGTGTGTGTGTATGTATAATTACAAAACAACCTTTTTAAAAAGCAAAATATAATTGTATAAATGTATCTAGTGTTGTCAAGCATTAAGCTGCTGAAAAATTATCAGTGAAGGCATAAAGTAAGAAATTTAGACTAATTTTTCATAATATATTATATATATATATATATATATATATATAATAGTTAATAGTTAAAATAGTATATATATAATAATAATAGGTAAAAAAAAATATTTTTTGGGAAAAAAGTGTAGTATCATCTTAACATATGTCAATTGATGAATTTTTTTTTCATTCTGGTATCTGAAAATTTACTCATCTCCGTCTATTTATTAATTTGTTATTTTTATAGTTGGGATTTTACAACATGCCCTCACACTTTTTAGTCAAGATTCAAATGCTCAGCCTCTTTCACCAAAAGAAAGTGGCTCTCCTCGAAGCCCAAAATATAATACTGGATCTCCTAAAGCAAAGAAAACATCTGGAACTATATTTCAGTTTCCATTTAGGGAAGGGAGGCCATCACTTTCAGAGGTCTGGTTTTAATATTTTTTATTTTATAAAATATATAGTGTTCATTCCTTAAGAATAAAATATAATAGTGTTCATTCCTTCAGTCTTTCAGTTTATTATCGAAGCTGTCTACATTGGTTATCTTCCATTTAAAAAAAAAAAATGCTTTGTAATGTATGTGCCTTTAAAAAATTATGTGCTCCAGAACTGTTGAGATTTGGCAATTTCAGATTTTGGAAATTTCCAGATTTTAGATGATCAATTTAAATCTAGTAGGATAACATGAAGAAAGTATGAAACAAAAAATATTCTGTAGTAATATTTCTTTAACAAAGGGTTATTTTGCATAAAGAAAGATTTTGTCTGAATTATTACCACATGAAATCAAAATGTGAATTGAAGCTGAAATGGCAGTGTCTTCTGGATTTAAAACTATACTACAGATATTCGCCATTCCATTAATTGACCAATGAGTGAGGCATTGTTATTGCAATGTAAGACTTCAGTTGTATCATCTTCATTTAGCATTTTTTCTTGTTATACCATAAATCGAAAAATTCTGCTTTTTATGTGTGTTATCTGAAAACTTTCAGATTCATGAATTTATCACCATCATGAAATTTGATAGAGCTCACTATATATTAGACCAAGAGTTTCTTAAAATATTTGCAGACACATTCTCTCGTGATCTGATAATACCCTACTCATCAGGTTTTATGCTGAAATGTTTCTAATTTCTTGGGTGATGTTGTTGTTGCATCAGTTTTTAAAAAAGCAGTTTTAGATCTGCATTTCAAAGTGTGCAAAATTGCGAAATCCATTGGCTGGTTAATGGATGCACAATTTTAGGAAAAGAGTACAATTCAAGTGCTATCATTTAATGTAATGTCTGTAAACTGTAATTTTGATGAGAATAATAATAGAATAAAATGATAAGCTGACTTCAAATCAGGAAGTTAGGGAAGAGTGAATATGCTGTATTAACTGAATCAAGTTCCTCAAAATCTGATTCTTTTCCCTTTCCTTGCTATTATGCAAACAAAAGGAAATTGATATGTACAAAATCTCATTCCAAATAAATATGTCTGAGGATTCACTTATACTTAAGGCCAAATAGAAAAATTTCAACACCTTCACCTTACACATAGCCATTCAAGGGCCAGAAATGTTAATTATATGCAAATAAAATTAATAATTATGCAAATAAAATGTGTTCATAGATAATTAAACACTGTGTCATTTGATGTATTATCAGTGCCATGGTGCGATTTCCTAGCCAGCAAGTGTTTGAAAATGACCTATAGGAGTCTCAATTAGTTGGTAGAAAATACTTTTTTATGACCTTTTTTCATCATTTTCTCCAGTAGGTAATTCTTCATTCTTAGAATCTGCAGAAAAGAAATTGCTGATAGTCCAGATATTAGATCATTTTGATACTAGATATCCAGACTTTATATGCATGCATATATCTGTAGTGTTTGTCACAAAAATTTATAATATTATGAAATAGTAAACACAGTGCATTTATATTTCATAATAAATTATATTTGCATTTAGTTTTATTTTATTATAATAATTGTGTTATATTTGGATTTATTATTCTTGAAAAATTTGTTTCAGAAGCATATAATAATCAGAGTAGCATCACTCATAGAATTGAACTCACTTTATCCATATTCAGAAAAATACCCTGAAAACTTCATGCCATTGATTTTTAATAACTAAAGTTAAAAGTATGCACAAGCTGCCATAAAGAGTATTATAAAAGTTTGAAAGTAATGCTGAAATCTTAATTATAAAATTTTAGCAGTACTATAAGCCTTTATTTCTGTTATTTGCACATGTTTGTGTTATTGTAAACATGTGCTGTTCTTCTTAAAGCATAATTTATAGTTAATCTGTAAAGTTGTTATGTATTAAAAATAATATACTGCAAGAATTTTCTGAAGTGCTGTGATTGAAATTATAGTCAGGATTCTGTTATAACATTTTTCAGAAATCAGAATAAGGAACATTAAGAAGTGTTATCAATTTTATCTCCTACCTCTGAACTACTGTTGGCTTTTTTTTATAGTCTTACAGACATTTAGATCAAAATTTGAGGCCTGATTCTCCTAAATTTCAAAAGAATTTAATCCTACTTCAAGGAAGTTTCTAAGTGTTTCTCAGCATATTTTGTCATGTGAATCAATATAATTATTCCATCTGTGTAGATGTTCATAATTTTTAGTATTTGCTTTAGCAAATGTTGTACTTTAGTGAATATAGAACATTTACTTAGTAAAAAGTGCTTTCTTAACCCTGCGTATTGAAGCTTCTTTTCATCTACCTCAAAGGGTATCTAAAGTATATTTAAATATAAAAGTGTCAGTTTATTCACTATTGTGAAAAACAGTTTAATGATGCTGTTTCTAGAAGTTGAAAAAATTGTATGCAAATATGAGATTGTTTGAAAATATCCCTTAAAAAGTCATATCAATTTTTAAACAGTAAAGATCACAGCTTATGTAAAATTTATATTTTAGAAATAGATTGTAAGTATTAACCTATTTGAAAGGAATGCTGTAATCTGTTAATTTAAAAATCTGGATATATAAAGTTTATTTTTAAATAAAGATGTTACAAATATGTAACTAAAATTTATAATATAAAATATGAATTATAATTTAAAAAAATTCTTAAGTAGATAGGAAATATTTCCTTAGACGTTGCTTCTGCTATAGATATTTTTAAGAACATCATATTTCTGAAGTATTTTACACTTAATTCTCAAAAATGTATGCAACAGTTATGTTGAAAATAAACTGCTGTAAGTGAAATATTTTCATAGCAAATTTAGTATTCAGTAAGTGATATAATTTTGAAAGATTTTTTTTTTCTCCCTTTTAGTTACGAAGTCTGAAAAGAACTGCAAATTCAAAAGTTTTCAGTGAAAGGTAAGCCTTATATGAACTTTCTGTGATTTACCCCCTTTCCTTGTGAGCTTAATTTGTATTTCATTAGAAATGTATGATTGGTAAACTATTTGTATTGCCGTAACTTTGCATATTTACTTAATGATGAAAGAATATGCTTTCTGTTTCTTTTTCAAAATTTTGGATTACAGTTTGTGTACAATAAAAAATATTAACTATAGTCATTTTTTTCTTCCCACAGAGTTAGTTCTACCACAGTTGATAAAAGTGTCACATCTCCAAAACAAGTGAGTATGCCTATGCTGGAAGGTTGCCCAGTATGATAGAATATATTATTATTATGATTATTATAAAGCTTAAGAATTATAGATTTGTTTTATTTGATATCCTGCTTATTTGCATAAGATTTCACATTTTATTCATAAAAATCACTTAATTTATCACTGAAAACTATTACATAATAATGTAATATTAGTTATCTAACAGTTACAACCGTAGTAGATTGAATAATTATGTAGTCAGTTTACATATTAAAAGTGTCTTCAGAGTTACTGTAATGCAGCCTTTTAGGTTTATTTATTTACTATTATTTTTTTATGTGCAAGTTCATGGTCAAAGAAAAAAAAAAAAAAAAGTAGCTATAGATGATGAGGGTATATGATTATTTTTTTCCCATATTTATGTGAATTTCTCCAAAGTGCATGTCTGTTATTTACTCAACAGCAAAATAAAATGAATGCATATATTAATAATTATGCAAATAAAATATATAGGAATAATTACCGGTCTTGAGAATTTTATTAGAGCAAAAAGTTTCTGAATATACACTAAAGATCTGGAATTTACGCAAGCAAATTTTTGTAGATATTATTTGTAAGATCATTTTTAATACAACATTTTTGTTTCTTAGTAAAATCTGTCTTTAAAAATGATTTTAAAATTTTTTTTTAGCTGAATTCTAATTATTTTTAGTCACTAGTATTTTTGACAGCTGAAAATTTTTGGAAAATTATGTAATTCTATGTTGACTGATCAAACACAAGCTTACATCTATAATTCTATTCTTATACCTTTTTAAAATTTATATCACTGATGGCCAACAATAGATCATCCAAGAGCCAATTTATGAGTCAGTGTTAAAGCCACTGGTGTGTGTATGTTATTCATGCCTTATGTTTTTATTTTAGTATCTAGGAACAATGATGCTGTACTTGTTTAATTGGAGTAATAAATTTTGATTACCATATTTTTACTAATTTTTTCATCCAAAAATCAAGAGGATAAAATTATATGAATAATTTAATTTTTAAAGGATGTGGTTAAAGTAAGAACATAACAAATGAAAAGTGTTATGAGTGAACTACAGGTAACTATCACAATATTATTTCTTTAAAAGAAACTTACCTTCTAATAAAGATGCATAGTAATATTAGCATTACAACAGCTAGTAAAATATCTTCATTCCTACTTCCCTGAAACTTGAATCTTGACTGTTGTTATTGCTGTCTGTGCTACTCTTTAGGCCTCAAATCATCCATAAATAATTAAGATAGCATGAATATGCAGTTGACCCAGTAAAATCATAGACTGAATATCAGTTTGTGTTTACTTAGCTCTAAATGGTCATTTCTTGTATTAGTTTGGTAAGTTCAGCATAGAAGGATAAGGATCAGCATGACCATTGCAGGTACTGTGCAAGCATTTGTCATTGTCAAGAAGACAAATTAGTCACTGTATAGATGAATCCCTTTTAAAATTTAGGGGATCTTCTCTAAACACATTGAGGAAGGGGAAAATTATGTGTAAAATTCAGAACTTTCTGCTAAAAAGCTGTGGTGGTGTTGGGGAGAAAATATGCAAGAAATACAATATTTCAAAATATCCCTGAAAATTTTGCAGATAAAACAACATCCATACTAAATGTAAAATTATGCGTATATAACATTATTTACTTTTAATTCATTGACTATTATGAATATACTTTTCAGAAAAAAATTTTATGCCATTAAATTTTAAAGCTTAAAATGCTATAGGAGTGAAGAAAATGTTGTCAATTCTCAAAGCAACAAGTGTTTTCAATTATATGCTGTCAGAAATTTAGTAATGTGCAATATATCTGTATATCTGTGAGGTGTACATTTTCAAAATACATGAAAATATATTTGCATCAGAGGATGTACCTGTCAGTGGTAAAATCAGTAATAAATTTTGCTAATTTTTCAAAAAAAAAAAAAAAAAAAAAAAAAAAAAAAAAAAAAAAAATAAAAAAAAAAAAAAAAAAAAAAAAAAAAAAAAAAAAAAAAAAAATCTTTTTGAGTCTTAGGAGGTGTGCTAACCTGCAGTGACCACTACTGATTTGGATGTTTGTTGCTGAACATACTGTTTAAATTAATAAATAAATCTAAAAAAAATAATAGTTTATTGCTAAAAGTGTAACATATCTGAACACAAGAAATACTTGTAAAAACTAAACTTTGTATACTTTTTTCATTCAGGAGTTTAATAGTTTAACAATTTAATATTCTATGATACAAATTTATTTTAGTTGGTAAGGAATAATTACTAAACTCATGTGAATGCATGCTTTTAATTTAATTGTTCAAATATTGTGACATGATTACTTACAGATGGATTATTGGAGTAGATTTGAATTTGATTAGTTCTGTTTATTTTTGTGTGTATTTAAAATATAGCAAGAAATGTGTGAAAAATTATATTTATTTATTGAGTTTATTATTCTGTTTATTTTTGTGTGTATTTAGAATATTTTATTTTTTGAGAAGCAAGAAATTTGTGAAAAATTATATTTTATTTATTGAGTTTTATTATTTTGAATAATTTTTATTTATATTTATATATTATTTTTATTTATTTATTTCGTTCTGTTCTATATTTTATAGAATACTTTGAATAAACACAATCAGATGCAACATAAGAGGCCAGGTAAATAAGTAAAAATATTTGTTCTCAATGACATTTACACAGCAATGCAAAGAACCTTTTGTAATTTTATATGTCATCCTTTTGATATTGAAAGTAATTGGTAACTGATTTAAAATGAAATACAAGTAAAGTACACTTAAAGTACAAAATATAATTAAAATATAAATAAACTGTGTCAGTGCAGTTAAAATAAAAATAAAATACTTTTAATAGTGTTTTTAATTATTTTTAATTATTTTTAATATACTTGCATTTTATTTTAGATCAGGGCCTATGAGAATGCTAAACTCAAGCCAATAAGTTTTTAATGCTAGTAATTTTTGTGGTATAGTGCCATAATAGAAATTGTTATGAAACTATATTAAAAATCACAGAATAAACACAAGAAAAGTCTTGTATAAAGTTTATACTTCATCTGGAGGATAATAGTTAGGCTATTAATATTATATTAGGTTGCTTATTCCATATAAATGTCACTGAAAATGGATTCAATCTTAGAATCACAGATTTTTCTAACTTATTAGTTATTCTGATGTAAGTAATTTTCATAGATTAATTTAAAAATATTATATATATATATATATTAGTGTTGCTACTGAATCAAAGTTGCTTATTCAGAAACATTTTCTAGATGTAGTAAAATGTTTTATTTCATTCATTTTATTCGCTTAGACTCAAAGTTTATTATATTGATAGTACTGAAATCAAATAGCACATCTTATATTAGGTGTTGGAAAAAATTCATTATTATTAAGATATTATACAATCTTTTGCTGTACAGATTTTAAAATGTACCTTTGAAATTCATATATGCAATTCATTTTCATGCAGCTTTCAAAATGAGGACCAGATTAAAAAGGTTTTGGTATTCATTCAAAGAAATATTA